GGTAATGCCGGCCTGATAATTTTATATTAAAAATCCCGCGCGGGCTCTAAAAAAATCCCGCGCGTGCCCATCTCTAGTAATGAGTAGGTATCCCAGAAATGATAATTATGATAATAGCTGTAAATAAAGAATTACTCAGTATATGAAAAAAATAAAAATCGCTGATTGGACCCGGGTCACCCGTAAACTAACTCACGGGTGACCGTGGCGTGTACGCGTCTGTTGTCGGAAGGTTTCGGAATGCCGGTCAAGGTCGGCGGGAAATTTCGGGATTGTTATTTTTTTTCACCCGGGTGGAGATTTTTTAGACGGGTCCAAACACTAGCCGTTCAGCACTCACTTTTTATGTATATAAATGCACCTTATTACTAAATTTAAATATAATTTTTTTCACATACCGCTCTATTGAATATAACAATATTATATTATTCTAAAATAAAAATAGATTAATGTAAAAATTTATTGTACGTATACGTATTGAGTTTTTTCTATTTAAATTTGTATATGTAACGATAATAAATTTATATACGTATATTTCTTTCATTAGTCGTACAGTGCTAAATTTTAATATAACACAAATGTTAATACAGTAAGTAGCACAAGTACTATATGCACAAAAAATACATACACACGTACGTACGTACGTATGTACTGTACGTGCTGTACTGTACGTACTGTACGTACGTGTGTACTGTACATAGCAGATAGTCTATAATCCAGTTAACTCTGTATTAAAAAAATATACGTATCACGGAGATTTTGATTTATAATTAGTATATAACAGGAAATTTTAAGAGATAAGCCATCGATACACGTGTTCACAACCAGTATATGGTATACTAATATAGTACGTACGTACTTGGCTTTAAATTTCAATCGAAAAACGTAGCCTGTACTGAAATTTATTCGATTCTCGCAAAAACTCGGCCTTTTCTACTACAAAACCCAATATCATAAAACTATGCCAAGATCACGATTCAGACCATGCATCGACTTGCATAATGGTCAAGTAAAACAGATAGTTGGTGGTTCTTTGAATGAAGAGAATCCACACGAGCTTTTGACAAATTTTGTGTCTAGGTATTTAATTAGCAATCCACATAATAGTGATAGTATTATTATATAGCAATTATAGCGCAACTTACTATGTTTTTTATATAGTTTTGAAAGTTTTTTTTCCTCATTCATAAAGAAAAATTCTATATAATACAAAATTTAAAAAACTTCTTTTTCACATATGAGTGTCGTCAAAAGAAAACCCACAATCTAAAAATAGATCACAGATCACTTATGAATTTCATAATGAACTTTGTGATCTATTTTTAGATTGTTGGGTTTTCTTTTGACGACACTCATATAAAATTTCTTTTAAAATATAAATATCTTATGATTACTAAACCAATTTTTATAATTTTTTTACACTATATATAAAAGTGTTTTCTATACATTTTTTGCTAGAAAATTGAAGTATATTAGCTCAGTAAAAAAAATAGTTAGCTATGAGGAAATGAAGATTTCATAATTAATAATAATTTAATAGTAATTTGCGCATGTGAAATACGATTTATTAAATATTTATTTGAATTAATCTTATGAATCTAAATATATAGCGAAAAGCCAAGTTATTACGCCGAGCTTTACAAGCGACATAATTTAACAGGAGCTCATGTTATTAAACTTGGACCTGGAAATGATGAGGCTGCCAGAGAAGCTTTAAGAGTGTGGCCTGGTGAAAATTTTTTTTGATAAAATTTTAATTTAATCTGGTTAGTAAGTTATAAATATTTGTATTTGAATTAAGAATAGGTGGTTTACAAATTGGTGGTGGAATTACTCTTGATAATGCTAGGGAGTGGATTGATGCTGGTGCTGACAAGGTAATCATAGCCTTCTAATTATTATAAATCCTTTAAAGTCCATGAACATTAATATTATTCTTGCAGGTAATCATTACATCATATCTTTTTCCTGATACGAAATTTTCACTTTCTCGATTACAAGAATTTTGTGATAAGCTTGGAAAAGAAAGAATTGTTGTTGATATAAGGTGTGTTAAATACTTATATATATTTCTGAAATTTAATATTTTAGAAAAATATTGAATTTAACATGCAAATAGTTGTAGAAGGCGAGGAAATAAATGGATTGTGGCTATGAACAAATGGCAAACTATTACTAATATGGAGGTTAATAAAGGTATTGGTTTATTTGTTTAATAACTAATTAAAATTGTTGTTGTTAGCTTTTTTTGAAAATTTTTAATTTTATATTATTTAAAGAATCATTAGATTTGTTGTCTAATTATTGCAGGTTTAAATACAAAATATATATTTTAATATTACAGATTTATTATTGATTTAGTATTTATTTTTTTATATTTTACATAGTGAATTTTTAATACATGCAGCAGATGTTGAAGGATTATGTCAGGGTATTGATACTGAGCTTGTTGAATGTATGTTATATAGTAATTATTATTATTTTGTTATATAAGGCTTTAATAAATTTATTGATAATATTTATTTAATAAAAGGTTTAGGAAAATGGACACAAATACCTACAACTTATGCAGGTGGAGCAAATTGTAAGAAGTTTGATTAATATAAAATTTTTATTTATTAATATAAATAATAATATAAATTTAATATTTTATAGCAATTGCAGATCTTGAATTAGTTAACAAGTTATCTAATGGAAAGGTAGATTTAACATTTGGAAGGTATTTATTTTATTGTATTTTAATACAAGATAATTATATTTAAAATATAAAAACAATTAATAGTTTTTTAATAATATATAGTGCTTTGAATATATTTGGTGGTAACAAAGTTAAATTTGAAGATTGTATTGCATGGAATATAGAAAATTAATAATTTAAATTATAATTAAAATTTTGGCCGCCTTGGTCCCGTGATATAGATTCTAAGTTCCATATTATCTAATAATCAATCTATTCAATTTGATTTATAAGAGTTTATTTACCTTTGAATCTGGATATACTTAATAAAGTCCTAAAATTTTTGAATAACTTTAAAGGTTTAATATTACACTGTTA